AATAGATGGTTTCTGTGTGTTTTGGAAGAGAATGGATCCTTCTTTGATGGAATGAAATGCAATAGAATGTGGTGGATTTTTGTGGAATGGAGTGGAAAGTCGTGAAATGGAGTGGAATGGAGTGCACTGTGATGCAGTCGAGGGAACCTGAGCAGTTTGGATGCAAAGGGAGCCTTCTTTCATGGAATGGAATGCAATACAATGTGATGGATTGTTGGGTAATGGAGTAGAATATTGTGGAATGGAGTCAAATGGGGTGTAATGTGATGCAATAGATGGTTCCTGAGTGCTTTATAAGCCAATGGTTCCTCCTTTGACACTGTGGAATGCAAGAAAATGTTGTGGAATATTGTAGAATGAATCGGAATGTTGTGGAATGGGGTGGAATGGGGTGTAATGTGAAACAAGAGAGGTTTTCTGAATTGCTTGGAAGTGAAAGGAGTCTTTTGAAGGAATGTAACGCAATAAAACGTGGTGGATTGTGGTGGAAAGGAGTGCAATTTTGTGGAATAAATTGGAATGTGGTGAAATGCGACGCAATGATGGGTGTCTGAGTGGTTTGGAAACGAATGGAGCCTTCCTTGACGGAATGGAAAGCAATAGAACGAGGTGGAATTTTGCGGAAAGGACTGGAATGTTGTGGAATGGTGTGAAATAGGGTTTAATGTGATGCAATAGAGGGTTCCTGAGTACTTTCTTAGCGAAGGCTGCCTTCTTTGACGCAATGGAACACAACAGAACGTTGTGGAGTGCTGCAGAATGGAGTGGAATGTTGTGGAATGGAGTGGAATGGGGTGTAATGTGATGCAATTGACAGTTCAGGGTGTTTTGGAAGCGAATGAAGGCTTCTTTGATGGAATGTAACGCAATAGAATGCGGTGGATGTTGTGGAATGGAGTTTAATTTTGTGGAATAAAGTGGAATGGGTGGAAATGTGACGCAATACAGGGTGTCTGAGTGGTTTGGAAACGAACGGGGCCTTCTTTGATGGAATGGAAAGCAATAGGACATGGTGGAATTTTGTGGAAAGGAGCGGAATGTTGTGGGATGGCGTGAAATGCGGTTTAAAGAGAAGCAAAAGATTGCTCCTGAATTGTTTATTAGCGAATGCTGCCTTCTTTGGTGAAATGTGGTGCAACAGAACGTTGTGGAATGTTGCAGAATGGAGTGGAATGTTGTGAATTGGAGTGGAATGGGGTTTAATGTGATGCAGTAGACTTTTCCTGAGTGTGTTTTAAGAGAATGGGTGTGTGTGCGTGTGAGTGTGCGTGTGTTTGTGTGTGTTTGATTGGGATTGAGTGTGTGTGTGTGAGAGGGTGAGTGAGTGTGTGATTGTGTGTGAGGGTGTGTGAGTGTGCAGGTGTGTGAGTGGCTGAGCGTGAGTGTGTTTATGTATCTGTGAGCGTGTTTATGTGTGTTTATGTGTGTGTGAGTGAGAGTGTGTGAGTGGGTGAGAGTGTGTGAGTGTGTGTGAGTGTGTATATGTGAGTCTGTGTGAGTGTGTGTGTGAGTGTGTATTAGAGTGTGGGAGTGTAAGTATGTATGTGAGAGTGTAGGTGTGAGTGGGAGTGTGTGTATATAAGTGTGAGTCATAGTGTGTGAGTGTGTATGACTGTGTGTGTGAGTCTGTATGAGTGCATGTGAGTGTGAGAATGTGAGTGTGTGTGTGAATGTGTGTGTGTGTGCGAGGGTGTGTGACTGAGTGTGTGAGTGTAGATGTGTCTGTTTGAGTGTGTATGTGATTGTTTATATGTGAGTGTGTGTGAGTGTGTGATGGTGTGTGTAAGTCTGTGTGTAGGTGTGTGAGGTGCTGTGTGTGAGTGGGTGAGAGTGTGTGTGTTTGAGCTGGTGTGTGAGTGTGTGTGTGTTTGTGAGTGTGTAGGTGTATGAGTGGGAGTGTATGAGTGTGTGATTTTGTGTGATTGTGTTTGATTGTGTGTGTGATTGTGTGTGAGTGTGCGTGAGTTTGAGTTTGTGTGAGTGAGTCTGTGTGTGTAGGTGTGTGAGGGTGTGTTGCAGTGTGTGTGAGTGTGTGAGTGTAGGTGTGTCTGAGTGTGTGTGATTGTTTATATGTGAGTGTGTGAGCAATAGTGTGTGTGAGTGTGTGTGTAGGTGTGTGATATGCTGGGTGTGAGTGTGAGAGTGTATGAGTGTGTTTATGAATATGTGTGTGAGAATGTTTGAGTGGGTATGTGAGTGTGTTTGTGAGAGTGTAGGTGTGTGAGTGGGAGTGAGTGTGTGATTGTGAGTGTGTGTGAGTGTCTGTGTGCGTAGGTGTGTGTGTGTCTGTGTGTGTGTGACAGTTTGTGATTGTGTGTCTGTGTTTGTGTCTGTGTCTGTGTGTGTGTGTGACAGTTTGTGTGACTGCGCATGTGTGTGTAGGTGTGTGTCTGTGAGTGTGTGTGATTGTGGATATGTGATTGTGTGTGTGACGGTGTGTGTGTGTACGTAGGTGTGTGAGGGGCTGTGTGTGAGTGTTTGAGAGTGAGAGTGTGTGTGTATGTATGAGTGAGAGTGAGTGTGTGTATATGTCATTGTGTGTGAATGTAAGTCAAGAAACCATAAAACTCTTAGAAAAAAACATAGGCAAATATTTCATGGACATAAACATGAGTGGCCTCGTCTTGAACATATCTCCCCAGGCAAGGAAAACAGATGCAAAAATGAACAAATGGGACTATATCAAGCTGAAAAGCTTCTGTACAGCAAAGTATACCATCAATAGAACAAAAAGGTATCCTACAGTATGGGAGAATATATTTGTAAATGACAGATCTGATAAAGGGTTGACATCCAAAATATATAAAGAGCTCACACACCTCAACAAACAAAAGCAAATAATCCAATAAAAAAAATGGGCAGAGGAGTTGAATAGACAGTTCTCTAAAGAAGAAATTGAGATGGCCAACAGACACATGAAAAGATGCTCCACATCACTTGTCATCAGAGAAATGCAAATTAAAACCACAATGAGATATCACCTCACACCAAACAAAAACAAATGTTGGCGAGGTTGTGGAG